AAACTCTACTTGAAATAAAAAGTGATTACATTTAACATTAAGAAATGAAACTCAATAATTTTTAGACAAATATTTTCAGTTAAAGAAAAATAATAATCTGCAAAAAAAATAATTTGAAGTTTTTTTATATCATAAATTTATTTATGATTATTTTTTAGCTGATGTACCGTTAAACTGAAGGTGGTAATAAAGTGTACAATATTTGCTCTGGCTGAATTTTTTAATGAAAAAACAATATGTGTGCCATGAATGTAATCTGTTTTTCATGGCGGATCAATGAAAGTTTGGTGTATTGGCCAAACCACTTACAAGCATCTTGCCTTTAGGCTGCCATACGTAAAGTCATGTTTTTAAAAGTAACTGAAAGCAGCTGAAAATAAGAATTTTTTGGTAATTACCTTATTTACAATATTGTTTTTGTTTTATTTACAGTATTGTCTTTGTTTTTTATGTAAACAACTATGTTTGACTCATATATAAAAAATGTTGATTGTTTAGTATGGTTTCATTTCTTCTTTATTGAAGAATTCTTTAGTGTTTTAGGGTTAAGTGATTCTATCAGAGCTTTGCTTGACTATCTCTTTTGATTTATTGAATTTATAGAAAAAAGATCTTTTAAACCTTGAAGAAAAATTATGGAACAAAGACAACTTAAGAATCAATAGTATATATCAGTGAATTGATATTAGTTAATAGTTTTTGGAAACAGTACCATGTGCTATTAAAGTTTCTAATTTTTTAAAATATATGCTACATTCATATGAAACATACAAACAAATGATACAATATGATACGTGATTGACTATAATTATGTTGTATATCAGAATGTTTTATATAAATGCTTATTACATTTTATTGTGATTTTTATCTTTTATGCCCAGTTAGCAATGTATTTTGTGTAGCAATGATGACATCTGTAGGGTGTACTCACCGCTACAGATGTCATAATCTATTTATAACCAATTGCTTTTACTCTTCCATAATATCATATTTTAATAAGAATCACATTATAGAAAACCGTCTTATACATACACATGAGTAACCATTATACATCCAATTATATTACATTTGTTTTCTTCTTTTAGATGAACTTTCTTACTTCAGTTAGAGGAGATGAGAAACAACTTACAGCGGCAATCTCAATTCAGCTAATGGCCAAAGAAGTATGTTTTTCATACTCAGTGTATGAAAGAAAACAAAAACGTCCTGCAAGTTCGTTATAGGTAAAGCACAATATTTGTATTCTACATCCCATTTCCTTTAAATAAATAAATATTTTAATAAAAGCTAATTATTTTACAATATTTATAAGTGAAAAATTATATATTTCAAAATTATATTGTGATGATATTTATAAAAAACATTTTTTAGAGTTGCGTTTAGTCATTTATCGTTGTATTCGTTCATTTCGAAATCGCTACTGACAAAAGTATTAAAGAAAAAATTGTCAGCATTCTGGCGACGGCCAATAATAGAGAAAAATAGAACCGTAACTGAGCAACGCCCAATATTGAACAATGAAAAGTCGATGCCCACTATCTCATAGTAAGAGTATAATACAGTAGTTTATATATATATATATATATATATATATATATATATATATATATATATATATATATATATATATATATATATATACATATTTTTTGTACCTGTATTTAAATATCATTGATTTTATTTTGTTATATTTTGGTTTTGGAAAACTCTATACCTCTTTTTTTCGTTTGTATCTGTTTCATATAACTTCAAATAAATTTAATGATTTCCTTTTTTTTTTTTTTCTTCTTAAAGCGTGTTCTATGATCATTGTCATCTCCTAGACTATAACCTGTTTAACTCAAAATAATAATGCAGCCTAGTACTACACCTTTTCAAGATGTAAATGAGAACATGAAAGTTGTAATTAAGAAGTCGTAATATGTAATTAAGAAACACAACATGTAATTGAGAAAACGTTATATGTAATTGAGAAACACAACATGTAAATAAGAAGTCGTAACATGTAATTAAGAAACACAACATGTAATTGAGAAAACGTAAGATATAATTGAGAAATCATAATATATAATTGAGAAATCGTAAGTTGTAATTGAGAACACATAAATTAAAATAGCAAATTCACAGTTTAAGTTTGTAGGTTGTTACAAAAGGTCTTTTTGGACATGAATTTAAGTTATAATCTTAAATTTTGCTTTTGTATGCACAAGTAATAATAATAGAATTGAAAGATCGTTGTGTTATATGCCAATACACTATGACCCGAAAGTCTGTGATTAAGCTAAATCCGTGTCAACATTTATGTCACCAAATTTGTTTACGTCCAGTTCTGGAACAACCAGATTCAAGTTGTCCGATTTGTCGGCATGAAATACACACAACTGAACAAGTTGAAAGGAAACGTTACGTTTTATCTTCTCCAAATGACAGGAGAAGAGTTGTTAAATGTGCGGAGCGATTTGAAGATTGGGTGAATCTCGCGCAAACGCTTAGTATCAAATATAAGACAGCATACAATTGGGTTCGCAGCGGAAATTCAAATTTCATCGGAAAAGGAGGTTTTAAACCGAAAAAGTTGACCGAAGATCAAATCGAAGAAACATTAACATGGATTGAAAATGATTGTCAATTAACATTGGTTGCCATCAAAACAAAGATATTAAGACAATTTAACATAAACGTTAGCACAACAACAATAGCAAATTACCTCGAAGGCAGATTGTTCTCTTTAAAAAAAGTGCACAAGGAGCCTTCTACAATGAACAGTTATGAAAACAAACAAAAAAAAACTGAATATGTTAGAAACATCAACGAACATATCACAAATGGTCGTCAGAAACAAATTTTAACCTTTTTTTGTAGAAAAACGCAAGGACGCGCGAGACAAGGAAAAATTGCAATTATGAAAGTACCTGCTTCAAAAGGTTTAAATATACACTTGATCGCAGCTTTTTCAACTACAAATCTCGTCATGATAGAAACTCGCAGGGGATCATTTAAAGCAGATTCCTGTAACGAGTGGATGTTGGCTATGTTTCACCAGTGGGTTACATCCGGGAATCGTTTGGAGGATTTGGTCGTCGTAACAGATAATGCTCCTTGTCACGCTCGTTTGCAAAGGGTGTTTGATAATTCACCAGCTCAGTTGTTACGTTTGGGACCTTACAGTCCAATGTTGAACCCGGTGGAAACGATCTGGTCCAAAATTAAAAGTAACATTAAAAATGCAATTCGCATTCCACCTGTATTAGGTGACGGGATTGCGCAACAGCGCATGCAGTACTTAGAACGAATTGTAATTGAGGCGAAAAATACTATAATGGGAGGAGATTGTGCACGTGCGGTACAACACACAACCACGCACTATGCAACTATTTTAAATATGGAAGACGTACAAGTTGGTGCTTAAATGATCAATGAAGTGATTTTTAATTATATAATTTTTAATTATAATTTTTAATTGAATTATAAATTTTTCCCTAAAATGTTTTTAGTGTTTATTATGTTAAATTCATTTGCCCAAAAATTATAAATTTTTCCCTAAATTTTTCCCTAAAAAATTAAATTTACGCTACAAATCTTGCGTCATTTTATACGCTCCATTTTTTTACGCGCCATTTTTTTAAGCGCCATTTTACACTTACTCCTTTAAAGCGATATCTAAATTAAAATTTTCGTGTTTTCAATTACATCTTTCTATTTCTTAATTACAACTTACATTTTCTCAATTACATGTTACGATTCTTAATTACAATTTTCGTTTTCTAAATTACATCTTATGTTTCTTAATTACAACTTACGTTTTCTCAATTACATCTTACTTTTCTTAATTACAACTTTTGTTTTCTCAATTACATCTTACGATTCTTAATTACAATTTTTGTTTTCTCAATTACATCTTGAAAAGGTGTAGAGTATCACTTAAACAAGAAAACTGTTATAAATTTTAATTATTACAAATTTGTAGAAGGCAATATTTTTTATTATTTTTTAATAATAAAAATTTAATCGAAAATACTCAATATATTGCCTTAATTTAGTTATATATATTATACATATCAGGATAATATTGTAAAATATATTAGGCTAATATTGGCCAGTATAATATCCCTATTATTGGCGCGATATTATTTACAATATTGGGGCAATATTATAAACTATATCGGGCCAATGTTGCAATGTGAACATTTTGCCAATATTGGCCAATATTGACTTTACAATATTGGGGCAATATTGTATCGTCAATATTGACCAATATTGACTTTATAATATTGGCGCAATATTGTAGCGCCAATATTGGCAAAATGTTCACACTGCAACATTGGCCCGATATAGTTTACAATATTGCGCCAAAATTGTAAACAATATCGCCCCAATATTGCGCCAATATTGTTTGCTACTAGGGAAGCAACGCAAGTATAGAACTTAAGCATGAAGAAAATCTTTTCAGTACAGCTTTTGTGCCTTTATTGCTCAAAGTAGAAGACGGCGAAATTTGGAAAAATGAAAATCCTTCAAGCTGTCACTTTTTTAGACCTCTTCATCTACAATATAAAAAAGAGAATCCAATTTTATCCAGAGAAGAAGAATCAGATCTAAAAAATCAAATTTAACCTTAAGAACGTTTTGTAAAGTTTAAAGACGTTTTGTAAAGTTTTTAATATTGCAAACCTTAAAGACGTTTTGTAAAGTTTTTAATATTGCAGGAGGAATTTTGACATTTAATATCAGCTATAGGATTGATCTTACAATGTTTGATAATAAAGTAGTTAGTGCACTTACAGAGACAAAATCCACTCAATCCTTCAATGTGTGCAATGCTAAACCCAAGGAAATGAACAATATTGATTTATTAAAGCAAAAACTGAGAATGACTCGGCCTAGGGGCTCAGAATTTCAGCTTTGCATTGCTAGATAAAATGCTTGGAGTTCATTCTTCATTTGAGTTATAAAATTGAAATTAAAAAGTATAAGCCAAAAACAATTGAGGAAAAACTATCTGTAGACTTAAAAAAAAAAGAGATTCAGATACTCTTCAGAGAACGGTTAAGCCTATACGTTGATATGCCTAAAACTGAATCTGGAAGCACTAATGACGGCAACACTGTCAGAAGAGCATTTAAAAGTAGTGAAGTTTTTTCTGAAATTACTAAAGTTGATTGTGATATAATTAAAAGATTGCATAATATTCTCATAACCATATCTTGTGGATATCCTATTAATATCAATGAATTAAATTTATACTACACTTAAACAGCTAAACGTATAGTGAGTTTATACAACTGGTATGTTATGCCTCCTACTGTACATAAACTGCTACTGCATAGTTCAGATCAGATCCAAAAATATCAAGCATATCTTTTAGAAAACATAAGAGCTATTGAGGAAAACCGTTACCAGATAAAGTTTTTAAATTAATTGTAATGTAAATAATAAATTTAATGTAAAAAAATGCAGTATTTTTTCTCTATGTAACAACATCCTTTAAAAACCATTTTTTTAAAATATATCAAGTAGAGTAATATATCAAAATTATGTGTTTGTCTTGAAGAATCTGAAAACTAAACAAAAAATTTTAAACCTTTAACACGCGTAAGCGCGCATTTTACGCGTCGAAGCTGCGTGTTAAAAAAAAATTATTAACAAATTTGAAATCTTTGACTTAAAAATATTATTTTAATATATAACATTATTTATTTACAATTTATGTCAATTTTTATTTAATTTTTGCCGCTTTTTGATTGTCCTGAGTCACTGTGCAGCGTTTCGCTGCAGCGAAAAAAAAAGTTGGATTCATTTCGACTTTTTGCGAATCGCCATAAGCGAAAACCAATCAAGCTTTGAATATTATATCACGTAATGTCAACAGTAAAAAAAAGCGAAAGCATGTTGTTTTTACTTACTCTGAAAATTGGCAAGCACGAGTAAATTCATCAAATAAGGAGCAAGAAAAAAAAAATGACAAGACTTATACAATTATCAGAGTTTAGCATTTATTTTCTTATACTTTTTAAAAGAAACCTTATATTAAATGATTGTATTACAAAATGATATCATGTCTTACATTTAAAAACATAAATGTTAATATTAATGCACGGAAAGAAATTTTCGCATGGTTCAAAGTAGAAACTATGCGAAAAAAGTAATAACTGCTTTTAGTTAAACATACAGCGTAAACTTATTGCTGCCATTTTTAGTGTTGACAACGAAAAAAAAGTAGCGCGAAAGAAAGTTAATGGTAATCAAAACAGCGTTTCGTCGTAGCGAAAAAATTCGCTTCGCGCAAATATTTCGTCTTGTGGAAAACGGCCTTAACGTATAAAAATTCAAAAATATGTCATAAGGTGAGAAAATGATTTCTTTAAGCACATTCGTGAATTGAGAAGTAACGACTAATCAAAATGTTTGAAACCATTTTATTTTAAACGAAAGCTTAAAACGAAAATTAGTTTTTAGTAAATGATTCTTAAGTTAATTGTAATTTCTTGAACCGTATTTATTTTTTATCTTTTAATGTATTTAAAGTTATGAAAACAAACTAGAAAGGGAGTTTGACTTTTGTACATAAAATAAAGAATATTAAAGCAATTTAATTAATAAGACCCAATGTATAAACAGTTGCTGTTTACATTTTACGGCATTACAGCAAGCAATACATTGTTTAAATGACAATTCATAAATGAGAAACATTTTATAAAATATATTAATGTGAGAATATAAAAATATAATCCTGTATCTAAGTTAGTTTATAGTGTCGGTTTTGATGTGAAAACATTACATGTTATATTATATAACATTAATATATAACTTATATATCAATCTGAGAATATAGAAACATAATCCTGTATTTAAGTTAGTGGATAGTTTCGGTTTTGATGAGAAAACATTTTTTATTTTCATAGCAGAAACACTCATTTTATCAAAAATAATTAAGTCAACATTTATCTTCATATTTACATTTACATATGCACCACTTTGTAGAATTAAAGTTTATATCTACGAAACTTGATTCCATCGTTGCATTGCTTGTATTTTCGTATTACCATTATTTACAAACAATTACTTCTCTACACAAAATTTGAATTTCTTTGTATTCATTGTTTAACTCTGCAAGTCTTAGTCATTATAAAGGCTAATTGTGAGCATTTCAAGGATTGTTTTGAAAAATGGAAAATACAATTACTTGATGACTTGTTTTTTTAGTATGTTTTTCTTATGAAAAAATAAAAGTTTTCGATAATTTTTATATGTAGTGCTTATGTATATATAAATTATATATTATAAATGTAGTTGCAATAGAATTTGTTATGGCAACGCAAAAAAACCGCGTTAAATTAAATAGTTCTTAAATATTTAAATATTTTTCCGGGAATTTTTGAATATTAAATATTTTGAATATTAATTTTTAAATATTAAAATATTTTTCCGGGATATTTTGAATATTAATTTTTAAATATTAAAATATTTTTCCGGGAATTTTTGATGGAATTTCCCGGTATAAAAAAAGAGGAATATATATGTATATATATATATATATATATATATATATATATATATATATATATATATATATATATATATATATATATATATATATATATATATATATATATATATATATATATATATATATATATATATATATATATATATATATATATAACCACGTTAAATTAAATAGTTTTTAAATATTTAAACATTTTTCCGGGAATTTTTGAATTGTGTGTTTAAACAATTTTAAAAAATGTATTCTGATTTTTTATATTTTTTTCTGATGAGTCTTTATTAATGAAACACAGTGTAAAATAAAAAAAAATTTTGTTAAGTGATTTTCTACTAATTTATATATATATATATATATATATATATATATATATATATATATATATATATATATATATATATATATATATATATATATATATATATATATATATATATATATATATATATATATATATATATATATATATATATATATGATTTTAAATGAAAAAAGTTTTAAACAATATTTAGAATCTACTAACAAGAGCGTAAATTTACAAATGTCAAGTTCTTTTTTAACTCCACTTTCTGGGTATGTAACTAATTTTATTTTATTTTTTAAGTAAAATTAATCTGCCAATGTTTAACAGTATTTTATTTTTAGATATATTTGTCAATAAGCACATTAATAACATAAAAACTCAGCATTATATTGGTTTAATAGTTAGTTTCACATTTGCAAAATACGTACCTTTTTGTACACACCTTTTCAAGCCTGACAACAATGTTTTGAACAAATAAGACATGATTTTATTATTGTTATTTGGCAGTTTTTGATTAATATTTTGGAAAAACATATATTTGACAAGTTAAAAGAAGTACCAGATAATTTAGGAGTTAATTTTGAGTTGTTTGATAATATTTTATAATTTTTAAAAAATTTTGTTGAAAAATAACATACCAAAAAATACTGCTGTTTACTAATGCTAATAATTTAGGTAACTTTAGTACTCTTCATTATTTCAATTAGATGTCCAAAAATTTTTTTGAGGTTTGTAATATTAAAAACAGTTCTGAATATTTTGACACCTTAAAAAAGAAAAAAATATTTTATAAATTTTATATTTGTAATTTTATTATATGTATTTTTATTACTATTAATTATGATAATTAAAATATAATTATGCTAGAATTCATAAGAAGTTAATCATCTGTTTATTGTTTCAAAGTATATCAATTATTAAAAAATATCAAAAATTAAAATATGAATTAATAAAATGAAATATATAAATACTACATACTACTATACATTTTTGATATTTAAGTTTACTTTTCTAAAGTTAAGAGGAACTTATGAACCCCTCTATAAATATATTCTTTCCATATGTTTCTATTCATATCAATCAGTATAATTTTGCTTGTTAATTAAAATATTTTTTGAACTAAATTCTTGTGAAATTAAGGATGTTAACTCAAACTTGTTACAAAAATTCATAGTATTGAAACTAATTTTTTGCTATTTTGGTACTCTGAATTGATTTGTTAGTGATATAAAAGTCTTAGGAGCACCTTTGTCATTTTTTTTCCCACTGTGTGTAGAATGATGAGGAACATCTAAAGTGTATATAGCTAAATAATGTGACCTGTTTGTAACATTAAGGTAGGTGTTTACATTAATGTTAACATTAAGCTGGTATATTTATAATCTTCTAAAAATTTTCTTTATCTCCATCATTATTCCGAATACCCCCATCAATCAGGAAGATTATTACTTATTTTCAAGTTCAATATTATTTCACTTCTTATCTACTTTATTGGTAATTGATTTTTTTATACTTTAACAGAAAGACCGTTGAAAAACTTAAAAACTTGAAAAACCTCCAGTTTTAAGTTTTATGTTTGGACTGTCACCAACAACAAATATTTAGTTTATAGCACAACAAACAACTTTACCATTTCTTTGATTAATTTGATAATAAAGATATTAAACAGTTTTTTTGTTTATTGTAAGGGTGAAAAATTGCAGAACTAGGTATTTGACAGCAATCTGTGCAAAATGATTGTTTATAAATATTTTTTACTTTTTTAAGTTCAAGTTCACAAAATCTTATACAACTTTTTCAAGAATCCTGCTCTAAGCAGAAAATAGCTCAAAAACCAGTTGTTATCTTCTTTTTTTATTCTTTACCATTAGATGACAAAATCTCTATAGCTTTATCAATATTCTTACCTTTATGTATTAGTTTTTAATGGTTTTTTACTGGTAGTATCAATTTCAATGTTTTTTTTACTGGTTGAATTAAGGAACCAGTCTTTTCCAAAGATAGATATTTTTTGTTTTTAATGACAATACTGAAACATATCTATATCCTATTTTCTGAATAAAATCTTGTTTTTTGATCATTTTGAAAAAAAATTGATTGGTTCAGTTGTTTCTGTATATTTTTTTTAGTTAAAATCAAAGATCTGACGAATTATTTTAATTATAAAATTATAATTAAATTGCTTCATAATTTTAAAATTAAAATGATTTTAAAAAATCAAATAATTTAATATTTAAGACTAATTTGTCAGTCTTTTGACATTTTTGTCTTCTTTTGACATATTGTTGTCAATCTTTTGTTGTTTTTTTGTTAATCTTTTGATATATTTTTGTCATTCTTTTAATATAATTTTTTCAAACTTTTTGAACTAGCCTCTAGGTAAAAAACTTTTGAAGCACATACCAATATTGGTATTTTTTGTGATTTGAAAACTGACACAAATATACTCTCAAAAAACACCTTTACTTAAAATCATTAGATTTATATAGATTTAAAATTTCATTACATTTTGATGCTTGATATGATCATATAACGTTTAAAACTACTAAATTTTTTGAACTCTAACAGTTTTAAAAAATGTAAAAAATTAAAAAAAATCCTGGTTTTTAATTCATTTGCATCTGTTTTTATTTAATGTTAAACTTAAAAAATAATTTAAAAAATAATTTAAAATATTGCTTCAATACAAAACCTCTAAAATTGATAGTATAAAAACAGATAGTAAAAACAATATATATGATGAAGTTATTTTTGTCTACTCTTGAACTATATATTTCTCACAAAATTTTGGCATTTTATTCAAGTTATATGTGATACATATAATTGATCTGCTATTGATTTGAGAATACTCCTTCATCTGCTTTTGAATTTATTTTATTCATTCAAAACTACTTTTAATTTTTTGTGGTTTCCATTGTTACATTATCTTTTACAAAAACTTTAAACATACCTTGTATGTTATTTAAATTTTCAAAATAAAATAATTTCTTTTTTTTTTTCTATTACTAATGTCGTTATTTTTTGATTAGAGAGTTGAGCAACGCAGCTTTAAACAATAATGACATTGAAGGTTGGCATAAAAAAGTTACAGAAAATCAACGGAATGATCTTTCAGATAAACTGTATTATTATTATTTTCTTTTTTTTATAAATTTTTTTGTAATTTGTATTGATGTACTGCTTTTAAGCTTGTCTTTCTTTGAGTTTTCTTTTTAATTCCAAAATACTGCTGTAAGTTTTTTTTTTCAAATAAAAAATCTTTTTATCTAGAATATGTTGCTAGTTTGAAAAAATGACAACACCCATTTACACTAATATTGCTTGAGATTCTTTTAAAAGCGATCTTTTGCCACTAATCTAACTATGGATTATGTTTATTTAATTTATATGTGACTTTGTGAAGTTATTTAGAACTGTCCTTTTTTTATAAATGTAATTTGTTTTTATTTTATAATATTGTTAGAGAATCATCAATTAAAATCACATTAAAAACTGATTTTCTAAAAGATACTTACATTAAAATGCTAAAAGTATTTATAAATGAAGCAGAAGTTGCAGCATATATTAATGCAAGAAGCAAGGTATTTTTTTATTGATATTTGTTGTAATGTTCATAAATGTCTTAACTATTTTATTTAACATTTCAAATGAAATGTTAAATAAAATAGTTTTTTCTTGTTGCACAAAATTATAAAAACTATATTGTTTCTAATTATCTTAATTATTTAATTACCCAACGGGCAATCGAACATTTAATCAACGTTTAGGCAATGTTTGTTCTAAATATTTAGATTTAATTTAGTTTCGATTTAAAACGTAGGTCAATCGAATGTTCCATTTAAACCATATCTAAATGGTTCGTTTTAAACGCTATTTAAACTCCATCTAAATCTTTCTTTTAAAATTTCGCGACGTTAAACTTTATTTTACGGCGCTTATTTAAAGAAGCATAAATAAATACAAAATATTGATAAAGGAATCAAACTTTTCTTTTATTTAAGCTGCTTTAAATAAGCGCCGTAAAAAAAAGTTAAACGCTGAACGCATTATCTAAATACTCATAAACAAATCAAACATTAAACAAATAATTTTTTAAGTCTAAGATACAAGTAAAATCATTTTATTTATTATTATATGCATTATCGTATTCGTCATCATGATCGGCTCCATAATGATCATTGTCATCGTTGTTTGAACCGATTAAGCCTCTTCGTCTTAAGAATTAGAAAAAAGGGCATAACCTTTCCTATTTCCACCTATATGGAAGGGAGCCATTCTAAGATGGAAATCAATGCACGATACCGTATTGCGGATACCGAAGTCATACAATATCTTTTCTAAAAATAATAAAAATAACTCAATAAACATCTTCATTCTATTCATATAAATCATTCATTTAACAACTTTATAAATCCATAGTTTTATAGATTATAGAAGATTGTACATTAGTAGAGTGTACATTGAGTAATTATGGTAACAATTGACAGAGAACTTTTCTTTAAAACTGTAAAATATATAACATTTATATAATAAAAACCTTATTAAAAAAATTTGCAGTTATCGCAGCTATGGGTTGATAAGTTGCATAACTGCAGGACAACTGCAGTGCCCTTCCTAAACATAGTAATACAATATTATATAGTATTCTATTACTTTATAACAATATCTGTACAACATATATATATATATATATATATATATATATATATATATATATATATATATATATATATATATATATATATATACATATATATATACATATATATATATATATATATATATATATATATATATATATATATATATATATATATATATATATATATATATATATATATATATATGTATATATATATGTATATATATATATATATATATATATATATATATATATATATATATATATATATATATATATATATATATATATATATAAAGTTTGATAACTCCCATTATTCATTGTCTTGAGGAGCAGTAGGCACACTGGCACACTCAGTATCCTGTTTAATTGAAACTTTCTATTTAATTGAAAAGTTGTGGAGATACCGACAGTTTCACTACAATATAAATAAACATGTAAAAATAAAATTGTAGTTCTTACACTTCTTAAAGTTTAAAAACTAATCAACAAACATAATAATTAAAATTTATATATCAAAATCATATATATGTACTAACACGCAATTCAAGGTAAAAATTAAGTATTACTTGATCAATCCATTAGATTGTACTTTGATATAGTAGTTATGTGGATAATGGTATTTTAGAACTCAATTTTTGGGCTTACAGAAAAGGAGACTTTGCAAGTACTGATGGGTTAGCTATTATGTAAATAACTATATAGATATATTATGTATACAAAGTTATTTTAAATAAAAATTTACTAAAACATTGTAAATTTGATTTTAAAAAGTCTATCCTAAAAGGATTACATTGGTAAATATGTTCATAAGTCATAAAATTAACAGGTTTATCTAAAATTAAAGGAGTTCTATATAAAAGATATAGATTTAGACATCTTACTTGATTGGTCCATTCTAGAGTCTTTTGGTAAAGTAGTCACACTTAATTTGAATAAAGATATCTTAGAATGCGATTTAATGCTTGAGACAAGGTGGCTGTGGAAGTGGTGATGGTTTAACTAAAATATAAATCCGAGTGTATATTGTCTGAGATATGTTCATTACAATTATTATTAGTCTTTAAAGATGCAAAGTAGGACAACTTACTTGCATAATCAATTGAATATACTTGCAGTACCACATCCATAATCTTTTTGTATAATTAAACATTTGTAACTTTTTTTTTTATACTTGAATGCATCATGCATGCATGCATGCTATATTATAATACAGCATGCATGAATAATGCATGCAAGTATTTTTGGCACTAAGGCCTTCACAAACTTTATTTCATGTTTATTGTAACATCAAATTAGCTAACCTGTCAATATTCGTACCTTTTGCATTAACTTTAACATAAAATTCTTCCTCAACTGAAAAATAAAAACTATTTTACTATACCGTAAAAATACTATAAAATATTATTTGCTTTAACAAGCGATTTATTCAATTTTTAGTGCAGTTTTTCCATAATTAACCATTTCTACTGTAATTGCATTAAACTAGTAATATTAACTCTGAAGAAATTGAAAAAAATAATAATTTAGATTAGAATAATGCACAATTATGGATTAATTATATGTTATTATTTTAAGTTTATATATTATTAGTTATTATATAAACATTAACAAATTAAAATGAAACCTTTAAAAGAGTTGTATAATCAGTACTTTTGTGCTTTTTTGATATCTGCTGATTATCAATGCTTTCTTCAGTTTCTGATATTTAAAAGTTTTGCAATCCTCATAACAATCTGTAAAAGGAATAACAAAACATCTTATCCAAAGCAATGACAAATAAATTTAAAAAGAAAATTATTTAACATTTTGTGAATAAAAATTATAATATCACAAACTAAAATAACAATTCAATAAAATATCAAGCTTTTGGTTCTTCCAACAGACTGGCGATATGACATTTTGCTAAAATGTTAACACTAATATGGTTGAAGGTACATCAACACATAACATTAACTTATTAACTTGTAACTAAACTTGTTAAAAGCGTTTTAAATAAGTTTAGTTGTCTAGTTTTTTAGCTTTTTTTGCAGACTTGAGTTTTCCTAATTCCGAGGGATGATATACTTATACATACTATATATTTCAACCTGTTAAAATTTCAAGCTTGGTAGGTCTTTCATAACATAATAAAATAAATAAAAAAATAATGCTATAAATATTTCAATAGCTTTTAGATATAGAGCATAAGATAAAAACTAAACAATTTGAACTCTCTTTTAACTAATTTAAACTTTAAAGATTCGAACCAATAATCAACATACCTTTTAAATATAACAGGTATTACCTTTAATCTTTAACCGTTGAATTTTTATAAATAGCTTTTCAGAAGCTTGAGCAATTAGATTATGATTTAAAAGGTAAATATCTGACAGATGTTCAACTATTAGAATCATATCTAAAAGTACAGTGTTAGCACTTTATCTTGTGATTACTAAAAGAATAACTATTAGTCACTGCAGTTTTTATTTACAGATCACTGCAGTTTTTATTTACAGAATGATCTTTACAGAAATAGCCATTAACTTAATTATTATTTTAGGAAAATCTAAATTTTAAAGGAGTGAAAACGTCACAAAAAATCAACTTACCACTTGCATGTGTACTTGGCTGTTTCCTGCTGCTTTAATTGTTGTTGCAACTGACTGGACTGTACATAAAATATTAAATGAAATTAAAAACACAAAACTTAACAATAAAAAATATATTTATGCGGATTTCAGAAAATTATGTAATATAGCTATATATATTATTGTTCAAACCATGTTAAATTTTCTACTAAAGAGAAAATAAATGATACAATATAATAATCATATCAGACATAAGTAAATTTATTTTCTCTTTAGTGGTTATCATATAGGAGTATGAATAATACTTAAATTTTTAAAAATATTTTTTAGTTTACATTAAAAGCCTTCACTAAAACTGAAGATCCGTTATATAAATATTTCAACCTCACAATTTTTAATTGGCACTGACTGCACTAAAAGTATAAATATTATAACATTGCTATTCGATCAATATAACATCTATCATAAACAAATAGATGTTAGGTCTTAATATAAACAAAAAAAAATAATTTTATTTAGTTATTTAAAAAGTAGCTACGACTTAAAATGCATAATTTTCCTCTAAAACTTTTAGAGAAAATTTATGCATTTTAAGTAATATTTTAGCGTTGTTAAAAACCAAACAGAAAAAACAATTTAAGAAATAGTTAAAAAAATGCTGACATTGCTACTTTTTTGAAACTACTGCTACTTTTTTGAAACTGCTATTTTAGTAGCTATAACTAAAAAAAAGAATTATCAAAATATATTGTTACTGTACTTAAAATTACTTTTAATCGCTCATACAATATTATTGAAGAACTTACAGGACTTTTTAACTCCTTCATTAGCCACAATATAATACTAAAAACAAATTTCTTTTATTTTTTCTAAACCTTTATTACATAATTTAAGATTAATTTAAGATTAAGAAACTCTAATTTTTAATCATAATGAAAGATTCAAAATGTCCGACACATTTTGTAAGAAACTAATTTAATTAAGTTAGTTCCGTACGGAAATTGTTTGATTTAGCTTTTCAACGCAAATTAAATATTCAGAACACGTTTAGAATAGATTCCTAAACGTTTAGATCGACGTAAATGCCATCTAAACGTGATCTAAACCAATTTTAAACCAACAAATGCCCGTTGGGTATCTACCAAATTATTACCTATACAACAATTTTAAGATGACTGTTAATACAAAATGTATGTTTTCATATTATCTACTAATTACGGTTAGTTTATGAATTTATTTCAGGTTGAATATATTCAGCTTTTAGAAGGAAAAATTTTGGAAATACAGATAAAACTCAAAGACCACATGCAAAAAAACTATGAAGTACAAATAGACCCTATAGAAATATGTATAGAAAAAATGCTTGAAACAGATGAGTTAGATGAGGTAGATAATGAAAGTGTACATAAAAACGAGGAAGAGCTTACAAAAATACACATTCAAAATATTCATATAAAAAAGAAATACCTATTAAAAAAACATTCAAAATTCAAAAAATTGACGAAGAACTTGAGGAAATAATGCTTAAACCACAAGAAACATATAAAAGTATGGACATTCAGATAATGCATGAAATACAGAAAAACTTTAAAGAATCATATATGAAAAATATATGAAAAACTACTACTACTATTAATACTACTACTACTACTACTACTACTACTACTACTACTACTACTACTACTACTACTACTACTACTACTACTACTACTACTACTACTACTACTACTACTACTACAACTACTACTACTCGGACACCGGGCATATAATATTAGGTCACAAATTTATGACATTTGTGACCAATCAGACAATCTGAAATTTCAGTTTTCAATAAGAAATTTAATTTCCATAAAAATGGTATACAGGCAGAGGTGATTTTATGGTGGGGCGTGGGGGGATTTGGTGATTTTCAAGTTATAGTTGGTTTTTTATGAATTTAGTCTGCTTGTCGGGTATTTAAAACAATTCAGTCGGATAAATTTTAATTTGAGGACCTTTTTTTTTTTACAAAGCCAGTTGGCAATTTTTATGGATTCACCCCCCCCCCCTATTTTATTTGTAGAATCGCCCCTGTACACAGGAACATAAAAATTATACAAAATAGAAACTATAATTAAATATATAAATGAAAAGTAAATATAAAAATAATTATTGTTTTATAGTATTTTATAATTAGGTAATCATAACGATTGAAGCTAAAAAGATATTTAAAGAATGTTTTAGTGAATCTCAAATGTTTACTACGAATGATCAATCGATGAACAGCTTTAGGCTTTCAGAAAAGACACATAAGTTACTTCTTAGAAAACTTAATTTAGAAAATTAGTTTTTTGGAGTGGCGTTTGGTCTTCCATAGATTTTTTCTGCATTGATGCCATCTATTGTTGGATCTTTTTGGCTAAAAATACATTATAAAATTTGATAATAATATAAAGTACTTCATTATTTAGCATAATTTATTTTAGATGACTTTTACTTGTACAGATTATATAAGGCGAATTATAAAACATGTTTGTAAAGTTTATATATAAATGTATTAGATCATAATATACTTGATTTTTGGTTTTATTAGATATGTAAAGTTATATTCTAATAACATAAATAATAAATTATAGTCTCATAACAAATACATTCAATATGTTTAAACGCTGTTTTACAAATGTTTAAACATTGTTTTACAAATGTTTAAAGATTGTTTTACAAATGACTAATTTTATAGCAACATCCCTACCGGCACATTTAGTTTCTTTTTCGGAAATAAAACCTATATAGGCACGTGTTTTTCACGATCCAGGCGTTTAACACGTGTTTTTTGAAAAATTTAAATGTCGCATGTTTTTATCAGTGGTTTCACATTCCTTACGGAAAGTTATTAAAATATAATACTACGTTTCCATAACGGTGAAACCATTAATACTTTAACTGGTATTTATGGTAAATAGTATTAGTTAATTTCACAGAATAAAAACCATTTAGGATACGTGTTATTCTTTTTGTTTTAGAAGGTTTTAAAAACGCAACAGAAACCAAGCGTAACTATTTTCTGAATTGTGCCGGCTGGGATATTACAACCTTAAAGGAGATTAACCGATTGGATTATTAAATCTTATACTGGAAATCCAATTAAAGAAATTTATTAAATTCATGTTCTAATTAAGAACGAATTCATAAAATTCAATACCCAAATAACTAATTGATTCAGGAAACTATATTGAATCCTGTAAAGTTTCTTTATATCATTGCATTTAATGTAGAGGCACCAGGACCCGAAAGAAATCAGTTTTTTTAAAAACAAGAAAGTTAAAGGGTTTATAAAAACCTTACAAAAATAAACAATAAGAGAAAGGTATCCAATAAAAAATAACACATTTGTAATAATCCCAGGGACGTTGTGCTTCTCTAAGTTATATATTAAAGAGTTTCAAAAAGTAACGATAAGATTGCCTTAATAACGTCAACACAATTTTGATATCATTTAGGAAGTAACTTTTTGTTTATTACTTTCATTTGATTCAATATTTTCATTTGATGTCATTCTGACATTTTTTTATAACATAATGCATTTTTAAGATAAAATATTTTCTTGATAATTTTGAAATAGATTTAGGTAACTATGTGGTTTAGATATGCAGGTGCCTAAGGTAAGCTAGGTGTATATATTTTGTATATATAAACAAAATATCATTTGTTATTTTTTAAATGATAAAATGTTTTTTTAATGGATTAATCGATGAATAACAAATAAAAAAGGCTAATCAGTAAATTCAATCATAGTTTCTATATTTTAAAAAATATATCTTGTAAAAAAAGTGTTATCTTACGATAAGAAGTTTCAAATGGATAAAGAGGTTTCAGTTAAAAGTTATTATGGTTATTTATAAATACATGATAAAGTATATTGTTCCGTAGATATTTCTGCATGCGGGGAGATCTGTGGTAAAAAATGTTTAATAAGGAAATTATTTAAAAAAAAAAATAGAAATGCAACAATCAAAATTTTAAGTTTTAATTTTATGTTTTAATCAATAGTGAACAATATTTAAATGGATAAAAAAGTATAGAAATGTTTTTTTTTCATAAGATTCGTTTCGCTGTTTAATAGTTTTTATTAGATAAAAAAATAAACAGTGGCTTAAAGAAGATGAAGATGACAATGTCATCTTTCCAAAGAAAAATCTTTTCAAAGATATGAAGTTACGATAAAATAACTATAATAAAAGATTTAATAAGCCTATAAGTGAATTAAAAAAACACCCTGAAAAAAAGACGTTGACACAAATGGTTCTCAAGTTAAAATTTTTTTTCTATTAGAAACTTAAAAAAAACTTAACAACTTTGCCATACATTTAAGTCCTTTTTGATAGGTATTCCATACCCAATATACATTGCTATGTACTTGCCCAAACAAGCTTTCCTACTGACTGATACAGTGTTATAAACTGATTAAACTGAGCCAACAACTGGTCGAACTTATTTTTTAAATCTAATATACGCTATTACTAAAACTTTAAATACAGTAAACTCCCGATAACTTTACTTTCAAATACAATTATACTCCCAATGAAAAAGTTATTGGGAGTACAATTCATATATAAGGGTTAAACTGGGATTCAAAATTAGCTTGACTTACTGGAAGTTCTCAAGGGTTCGAAATATTGGGAGTTTACTGTACTTTTTATTATTGTTAGAAAAATATTAAAATGTTCAATGAAACAACAAAACAACAATGAATAAAGTTAAATATTTGTAACATTACATACCAGCTGCAAATATAAACTTTTGTCTTCTAATTCAGTTTCCAACTTCACTAAATCTTCAACATTATCAATAGTAACAAAGACTAACTTATTAACCATATTTTCTCTTGTATATTGTACTCCTGAGAACTTTTCCATCAGAACTTTTTGATTTTGCTTCACCTCCATTAGTTCTTTTGTTATATTTTTCTGGAAAACTATAAATACAACACTTATAAGTAACAAAAGTTGTTTAAAGTTTAATATTTATCAAGTATATACAAAATAATATTTACTTACTTGTAAGTAAATAATAAATAATAAGTTGTATTTTATTAAATATAGGTGAATAAAAACTAGTGTCAATAAAATAACATTATATAAGCTTTCTGTTTGTTTTCAACTTTCATTTGTTTTTATAACTTCTATATGTACTTGAGTTTCTTTAATTGTTATTTTTATTTATTTATTTTGTATTTTTAGGTGTCACTCTATTAACTAGTTTGTAACTATTTGAGTGAGACCTAACCTATTTATGAAAACTTGTATGTGTAAATCTTTAATGTGCTTGAATAAAAAAAAAATTAATAGTTGTTTTCTAAATATCTTAACAATAAAAGTTTAAAGAAAACATTATAGATAACAAACATACCTTCTTGTGATGAAGCAGAGATATTATCAGCGTCATAACTAATCACAGGTTTACTACTGCAATCTGTAATAACAAACTTAATTCATTCATATACATAAGGATTTCATAAACAAGTAATATCAAACATATATAAAGAATAAATCAGTACCATAGCTGCTGGGAACTGGATTTAAATGACGATACTTGAGGCTGATATTCTGGTTCAATCTCCAAATCAACTTTATGCTTTTTTTTTGTCATCAAAGTCCGATTAGAAGGCACTTTAAGTGAAAATGAAATTCAAATTAATATTAGAAAAAATGAAAACATTCTACACCTTAAGAATACATACCTGGTATACTTTTTTATAAATAGATATTATTTGTTATAAATACTTAGCATAAAAAACAATACACACTGATCCTTTTAAATTTGTGTTCAGTGTTTCTAAGTGTGTTATTTGTTATACTATCTATCATTTGTTAATATTATTGCAGAAAGTTTAGGTTACAAATATAATGACACACAAAAAAAAATCCTTGTAAAAGTAGTGAAAACACAACAACAAATAAATACATAAATAAATTATATAAAATTAAGAACATTTTTGTAGTGACAAGGGAAGTAATGGGAAATTGTCTATTGTGGTCTCTGCCTCCTCATCACTGCTGCAAGCCAATTTTTTTTTTTGGATTGATTAGGAGCAACCTCGTTATCTAAAATAAACAATAGATAAAACTAATTTGTTCAATTATAGAAAAACACATTTTACAGATATAATTTAAATATTTCTTACCAAAATCATCATCGCTCATGAAATATGGTAATGTAAAGCGGTTATTTTGCTTCAACAAATTTTCATCTTCTGTATCTTCATTTGTATCATTACCTGAGGGAACCATTTCACATTCAGAAAAGCTGCCTAAAATTAAAAAAATTCTAATAAAATAAAATATAAATAACTATTGCATTTATAAATATTGTATTAAATAAGCATACTTCCACTTCCATATTTTTTTAACAAAATGAACCTAGCCCAATCTTTTTTTGGCATCTGCCTGCTTAAAATTAATGGCTTTACATTCACAACTTTAGGCCAACAGACCCATAAACTGTCATTACTTTTCTCTACCCAATTTGATGGGATTGTACCATATTCAATTAAATGTGGAGGTTCAAGCCATTTTGCTTTAATAAACATTTTTGTAAAAACTTGGAAAAGAAACATAACAAAAGTAAACATAATGTATAAATAATTATTTGTTAATGCAATAATAACAAATTAAAAATAATGATTAAAATGAACCAATATCATATTTATACAATTTATATATATATATATATATATATATATATATATATATATATATATATATATATATATGCGGTAGTGGTGTAGTGGTAGAGCGCTCGCTTCATAAACGAGTGGTTCCGAGTTCGATCCCCACCTCGTCCCTGGTAGTACCGCGCTCAACTCGTTTCTCCGCGCAGTGGCCTTGTTCGTCAAGGTTCGTATTTCGGAGTTATAGAGTTGAGAGAGGGTTATAGCCACAAAATAAGTAGCCTCCTCGTTTGTAGTGGCCTTCTCGGCCTTGAGGAGGTGAAGTAAAATAAAAAAAAAATAAAATATATATATATATATATATATATATATATATATATATATATATATATATATATATATATATATATATATATATATATATATATATATATATATATATATATATATATATATATGAGCAGTAAAATCAGATAGATAAATTGTGGTAATGTTTCTGTTTACAAACATTTTCACAATAATTGTTTTAAAATGATCATATAGTTATCTCTTTATTGAATGATGTTAAATTTTAGTAAATGTATTAGTGGTGATCGAGTGGCGATTAAGTGGCGATCACTAGTGATTACCACTCAATCACCGCTGATCAGTACTAAATCACCAGTGATGCACGCATAGGGTTAGTGTTTAAAATTTATAGTTTTTTAAAGAATAAGGTTTAAAAATTATTTTGCAAAATAAAAAAACGAAATTTAATAAAATATTTAAATGACAAAAATAACATTTAATAATTGGTTTGAAGAAATAAGAAGATTTTCTTTTATATAGAAC